GAGAGGGTGACTTAAATAAGCACCTCTCGTGACTTCAAAGGACATATTATGCAGAGCCAAAGCTAACTAACTCCAGAAATTTCTGAAAATCAAATAGCAGTAGCATCAGATGAACATTTATGGTGTATTGTGAAGAAGCCATCAATACACAGGCAATAAATGCCAAGAGTATACAAGTTCCAGTACATTAACCTCATGTTTCCTGTAAACTTCTAGTTTTTTTTTTTTAACTTTCAGTGTCAAGGTGAGTGTAATCAGAACCCAGATGTGTTTAAGATATTTGCCTTAATTCCAGAATTTCCTTCCAATTCCAGAACAAACAGAGGTAAACAAGTTAAAACCCAACCAATGTTTGACATTACAGGCACATTTGTGTTTTATTTTAAATGACTGAACCTAATTAAAGCCAGTTATTGATTGGTTCATTGGTTCTGGATTCTAATATCATCCTGTCATGCGTATCTAATATGATCAGAGAAAATGATTTTATGTTAGTTTTCAATTTGAAATTAAGCATGACAAGAGATGATTTATCTTTCCCAGTTTGCACATTCTGTTTTATTTTAAATTATAATATACATATAATTTAAATATATGGAGAAAATTTGATATACAGAATTGTGTGTGTGTGTACATATAGTACATATTGCTATACTTCAAGTGGCTCTACACTTTGTAGAAGGCATTTTACATACCAAACCTAGTCATACACTGAGCTTTAAGAATAACTAATAAATAATCTGGAGTAAGTTGACCTATCAAAAGAATTTATTGTTTATTTCTTTTTCAAAAAACAGGATTTCCACTATCAGGTCCCACTAATAGCAGTCAGTGAATATTCTGTGTGAGGAATATAACAATTACACAGAACCTTGATATGCAAATTAATTGTTATCTCATTTTACGTGGTGACAGCAAATGACTTGTCTTTTGATCTAGTGCAACAGATACACAGAAAACAATGAATGGAAAGGAGGTTTTCAGTCGGGATCTCCTGAACCCCGGGGATTAGAAATGTGGTAGGTATGCCTTTCTGTTAGTCCAGACCTAATCCTGTGAAATCAGAGGTTGGGATGGTGATGAGGTTCCTGTGAAGTGGAACTACAGTAACTGGCTCATGAGTGTTCTCACTAGGGGTGAACATTGTCTCCTTCTACCTGAGCTCTGACCTCTACACCCATGACATTGCTTTACACAATGAGCTCTAGGGGGCTGAGTAAGTGTGTAGAAACCCAAGCAAGTCAGCATCAGTTATCAGAGATTGCCAATACTAAAACTATTTTAAATAAGAAAACTTTGCTTGTTCAAAACACCATGATTTACCATGGGGATCTTGAGTGGAAATGGAGTGTTTCACACTGAATGAAATGAACTAGAGAAAAATAGGTACTGGATGATCTCACTTAACTGTGGGATAGAAGAAAATAAAACAAGAGGGTGGATATAAGCTGATCATGGATCAGAGGATGAGAGCACAGGGTGGCGCGGGGGGGGGGGGGAATTGGTGGATGAAGGTGACCACGGTCGTGTGCACTTTGGGGTAGGTTTCTGTGGACACCAAGGCTAAATGCCAACATGATTGTAAACACACAATGCAAACTATAGCTCTGTAGCTCTGTCCTCCCATTGTTCATCAATTTGCTGGAGCGGGCACCATTGTCTCCATTATGAGACTTGTTATTACTGTTTTTGGCATATTGAATATGCCACGGGGAGCTTGCCAGGCTCTCCATGCCAGCGGGATACTCTCAGTAGCTTGCCAGGTTCTCTGAGAGGGATGGAGGAATCGAACCCGGGTCGGCCACGAGCAAGGCAAACGCCCTACCTGCTGTGCTATTGCTGTAGCCATTGGCTAGGTCAATGGTAGTGGGTTATCAGAACTTATTAACGCTAGGATCACTAAACACAATCTATAGCACTGTAGCACTGTCCACCTGTTGTTCTTCGATTTGCTCGAGTGGACACCAGTAACATCTCCATTGTGAGACTAATTACTGTTTTTGGCATATTCAGTACATCATGAGTAGCTTGCCAGGCTTAGCTGTGCGGGCATAATACTCTTGATAACTCGCTGGGCTCCTCCTGTGCAGGCGGAATACTCTTGATAACTTGCTGGGCTCTCCAAGAGGGGCGGAGGAATTGAACCAGGGTCGGCCTTGTGCAAGGCAAACACCCTACCCACTATGCTATCGCTCCAGCCCAAGGCAAACTATAATAAACAAAAAAACATTGTGGTTTTAAAAGTGTCCATTTTTCTTTTCCAGTAGGGGCTAGAAATAATGAGAAAATGAAGAGAGAGAAATCGTAGCAACATTGCATACCCCGAATGGAAAGGTGAGTAAACACTATCCAAAGTAGAACAGCCAGAAAAGGCACACCAAGACATAGAGAGGGAACGAGACTTAAAGGGCTTGAACCAAGAAAAAGGTATTGGAGTGTCAAAGAGTAAGACTTTTACTCCTTTCATTCCACGTATGGCAAAATAAATAGGTGTTTATGATTCATATTTATTTATGTCTAGAAAATGTAATTTGATATTTACAGAACATCTTTTAAAAAAATTCTTCAGATGTGCAAAAAGACCCGTGTGGAAATAAATGACTTAGAAACCCTGTTGAAAAGATGTCCAGGGACTGGCGAGAATGTCTTGGGCTGTGTCACTCTGCAGACCAGTCTTGAGTGTCTGAGCTCTCCCTCCAATGAGTTGAGGACCATAGAGCTGTAGTAGAGGTGGGGGAACCCGGGTCTAGGGAAAAGTGGATTTCTCCAGCCATAAGAACTTTCTGCTCTTGACACACTTTTCTGTCTTTTGCTTCTTTTATTTATTTATATATATATTTTTTGGGTCACACCCAGCCATGCACAGGGGTTACTCCTGACTCTGCACTCAGGAATTACTCCTGGTGATGCTGGGGGACCATATGGGATGTTGGGAATCAAACCCAGGTCGACCGCATGCAAGGCAAAGTCCTACCTGCTGTGCTATCACTCCAGCCCCTGTCTTTTGCTTCTTAATTCACAAACAAACCCACTCAACAAACCCATTTTGTTGTTCAAATAACTGCTTTTGTTTGAGGTCAACAACTTTCATTACTTTGAAAGTCTCATTATAGATTTTTTTTTATCTTTACCAGACTTAGAATGATAATTCAGAGAAGGATTTACCTTGTCCTTTTAAATCTAAAATTGAAATGGGCAACCTAAATTCATGTTTTCATATTTTATTTTACTAACAAACTAGTAAACAAAACGTAGATGGAAAAAATTAACTGGATTCAGATACTGAATATAATATACTTTGTAGTTATAGCAGAACTTAGGCATTTGAGGATGAATAAGAATTTTCAAAGGCAGATTGCCGTCAAGGTCATCATTACCAACGTCCCTTTTTACTAAAAACTGGGCTCACACTTGATGTGTAAGTTTGACTTTCTCACTTTCAGAATATGATTCTTCAATCTTAAGGCTATCCCATAAACTTCAGTATGTTAAATTTAGTCAACACATAAATTATTTTAAAAGGCATAAACTTGAAGCATATATATTATATATAATGTCTGATCATGATTATAAAATAGCACAAGACCCTTTATTCTTTTTACCTCTCATTCTGTACATCTATTATACTACTCAGTTGAATGTAGACCAGTCATTCATTTATTTACAGATTTTATTTATTTGTTTTCTTCTAGAACCCTTAAGAAATCTAGAAACAGATTAAAGATGGAGACTGTTGCTCATTTTTCTATCTCTAAAATCTCAGTTTAAAATCAAAAATTGTTTTAAGTTAGTGCACTGTGATTTACAGTGTTTCACACAGGACACTTTACCACCTTTCTGTGACACTTCCTTCTCCCCATTAAATGCTTCCCTCCACTATAGACATTGCCCCTCCCTGTCCTCTTCCCCAACCCCCTCAGGTGACATGTTTCCTATGGAAGACCAGTTCTCATGTCCTTTGTTTCCATTGCTCCTGGCAATTTCATTATTCTACCATTGTGTTTTTTTATGTCCCACATGTGATAAAGATCATTCTGTGTTATTCTCTCTCCCTCTGATTAATTTCATTCAATATGATAGCATGGCAGGTAGGGCCTCCGCCTTGCACACAGACAACCTGGGTTCGATTCCTCTGAGCACCTGGTAAGCTACCTAGAGTATCCATCCGCATGGCAGAGCCTGGCAAGCTCCCCTTGGCGTATTCGATATGCCAAACACAGTAATAAGTCTCACAATGGAGACGTTACTGGTGCCCACTGGAGCAAATCGATGAACAATGGGAGGACAGTGCTGCAGTGCTATGATACACTCCAGTTACCTCCATGTAACAACAAATTTTATAACTTTTTCTTTTCTTCTTGTCAAGTAATATTCTACTGTGTATATATAGCCTGTTTTTTTTCAACCTTTTCCTGGTCCCCATCAAATTCCTGAACCCTCCCAGGCCCTGTGAACACTCAGCCACCAAACTCATTTTCCTTTGGCTTCCAATAATCTCTTAGCTCATCTCTGACATTGGCCTTGTTTGGATAAAATTGCTCAAGGATTCAGGATTAGAGCTTGTAAAATACTCTCAGTTTCGGGGCCGGAGTGTTAGCACATCTGGTAGGGCGTTTGCCTTGCACGCAGCCGACCTGGGTTCAATCCCCGGCATCCCATATGGTCCCCCAAGCACCACCAGGGATAATTCCTGAGTGCAGAGCCAGGAATAACCCCTGAGCATCGCTGGGTATGACCCAAAAAGCAAAAAAAAAAAAAAAACAACCCTCTCAATTTCTTAATATGGAGCTCAAACTGGGTGAAAAATTTTGTGAGCTCCAACTGGACAAAATATATTGTGACCTGAATTTTCTTGAGTAAATTTTCCCAGAGGAACTTCCTATTCAGCTTCCATATCACTACTTGCCAGACACCCACTTCAAGGTTCAAGAGTGCTTCTATTTTTTTGGTTTGTTTTAGGACCACATCTGGTGTTGGCTCTGCACTCAGGGATCACTCTTGAAGGTCTCAGGGACATGCCTGGGATCAAACCCGGGTCAGCCACATGCAAAACAGGCACCCTACCCACTGCACTGTCACCCTAGATGAAGAATGCTCCTACTCTTTAGCATGAATGAGGCTTGCTAAAAAGGTGAGAGGTTTTTGCAAAACGACACTACATTAAATCTAATATTGAAAACTACAGCCACATTTTTTCCATAAGATTGAAATAATTGGAATACTAAACAGTGGAATAACTTCAACTTAACATAAACTTCGTAAGATTAAGTGGTTTAACCTGTAGAGAAAAATCATCAGAGGAAAGAGTAAAGGGAAAAACATAAACATGCAGAATTAGATTAGATAATGATTTTGACCAGAAGTATATATTTGTTTTAAGTTGGTAACATAAATTAGTGGTCAGCATCAAGGTGGACTATTCCTGCTCGTGGTGGCTGCCAAACTATGTTTGATGATGATGCTGATTGATAGTGAAGGTAAAGGTGATTTAATACGAACGCAGCCTTATCCTTGATATGTCAATTCTAAGCCTTCTATACCTGGGGATTCTTACGGTTGCAAAGAGTTTTGTGTTTTTGACTTAAGACAAGGAGTGAATCCGGTAATATGGCAAGGGTTAGTGGTTGTGGTGGTTAACCTAAGAATATATGAGTGATGAAATAACAAACTCACAATGTTGTATAAACTGTCTGTCTGATAAAGTGGCGCATTATGTGGATGAGTTGCAGAGCACTGAGAAGTATGTCCAGTGTCAAAGAATCATCTCAATCTCTTCCTGAAATCTACCAGGGAGTCCCCATTGTATTCACGTGAAATGTGACTCATCACTGTAATGAACTGCATCTTTGGTCCATCATCTCTTTGGGGCCTTTCTCTGGCTGTCGCATATGCCTTGACCACTGTCCTCCCTAGTCTCCAGGCTAGGACCTGTGCTCGGTTCCTAGTCCATTGATGTCTCTGGGGACATCTGTTCTGGCTACCGTGGTTAAAGTGTTTCCCTCTTTTGTTCTCACTGTGGTGTGTTTTATGTTTGACTCTGCTCTCATCTGAAGTTCCCAAAGAGATTTTTTTTCCCTTGGAATACTGTGAACCAATGTAATCTGCAATGTAGGTATTCCACAACTTGGAAATTAAAAAAAAATTAAAGCAAATAACCATTGATCATGGTACTTGATTTTAACCTGATTGGCGAACGCATGTTGCTGTAGGTCATAGCTGGAGCCTGGAGTGGAACATTCATGCCGTTAATGGGGGGAAGCACGATTCGTTGCGTGCCTTCCTGCTGTTATCTGAGAGTGGCATCTGGTCATGTCAGAGAGTGGAAAGTGAAAGATGTGACCAGAAATAATAATTGAGAGGCACTGAAGAGGGAAAAGCCCTAAGAGATCTTTTATCCCTTGAGAACTGTTTCATAAGAACCTGCACAGGCATAATAACAGGCTTGATAGTTACATATTTAGAGTCACTAAAACCATCAAGTAATTTCCTTCAGATAACAGCTTTATTTCCATAACTTTGAAATGCTTCCCAAACTCCCTTTTAAGCTGCTGATTTTATAATTATTATTTTTCAATTTTTCTATAAGTACACACTTAACGTCTATTTTCAAGGTAGCTGAGGAAGTGTGGTGTAGCTTTTACTAGAATTCAGAGTTTTGCCCATTTTTCTCTCAGGAAACTGACATACACATTATTTTATTTCTCCCAAAGAACTGCTCCCAACATTCTTTGCGGGCCAGGCCAGTGAAGCCTGCTCAGTGTGTGTGTGTGTGTGTGTGTGTGTGTGTGTGTGTGTGTGTGTTTGTGTGTGTTGGCGGAGGAAAGGTTGCAGGCAAGCAGAGCTCAAGGAGACCCTCCATTTTTCCTGTCTGTGCAGATAAAACTGGGCAGTTTGCTGCGAGCTGGGTCTCGTAAGAGCTCAAGGACATTTGTGGAGTATAAAATAACATAACACAAGACCGACACCCAAGGACAGTAGATAGAAGGGTCAGGAAGATTGCTCCATAGTTGGAAGCCTGCCTCAGGAGCAGGCAGGCGGGGAGAGGACAGCTGAAATAGAGAAGGGATCATTAAGAAAATGATGTTTGGAGGAATCGATTGGGATGGGAAATGTGTGCCGAAAGTAGATAGAGGACCAAACATGATAACCTCTCAGTATCTTCGTTGCAAACCATAATGCCCCAAAGTAGAGAGAGTACGGGGAATATTGTCTGCTATAGCGGCAGTGGGAGGGTGGGGATATTCTGGGGATATTGGTGGTGGGGAGTGTGCACTGGTGGAGGAATGGATGTTTGATCATTGTGCGATTGTAACTCAGATATGAAAGCTTGTAACTATATCTCATGTTGAATCAATAAAATTTTAAAAAATGAAATTTGTACAAAAAAAATAAAAGAGCCCTAAGGATGATCACAGACACACCCTCAGCCTTTCCTTGTGGGGAGGGCTTGAGCAAGGACTTGCAAGGCTGTCTTACACCACAGTCACTACACTGAGATGTTTCAGAATTTCATTTTCTTTCTTCCTTCAGCTTAGTGGTTGCAATTGTTGTTTGGTTTCTTCTCCATAGTCAGGCAGTTTTGCTTCTGCGATTACAGTGATTTATATTTACTTGTTAATAATTACTCTTATTGACAGAAATATATGATGTGAAAATAGATTGATAGTTCATCACCAGGGATAGTGTCAACACACTCTGATCTGTCTTGCCCTCTCATCTGTGCTCCAGGTCCCTGTAGACTCTTCATCTCTGTCCAGATCTCCAAGAACCTGTTCTCCTCCTCTCATCTCAGTATCCCTCTTCCAGGCAATCTACTTCTGCCCTTTCCCTGTAGCCAGAAACTCAGAGAGTCATCACAGGGCTTGTCTCTTAGAATCCATCCCTTTTCTTTGTAACTTGAGGTCCAATGTTTTTAAAATCCCCAACACCACAAATGATCCTCCAATCCCTACCAAGAGTCATCCCTGAGTACAGAGCCAGAGTAGTCGCCAAACACTGTCCAAATAAAAAAATAAATTTAAAGCTGATCTAATGTATCTTCCCATTCTAAGAAATCACTTTATTTCTTTGACTTCCTTCTATGATTGCAAGTTAAAACATTTATGCCTACAGACAGTGTTTCTTCAGAGAATCTTCTGCCCCTCTATATCACATTTGTTTACTGATTTCTCCCTATTGGGGGCCAACCAAACAACATTTGCAACCACTAATTGCAACCTGTAGAATTTGCTTTCAGATTTCTGGTAACTTTACACTCTTGATGCTAGGCACTCCATTGCTTTAAATAATGTCAGTCTCTCTGTCAAGGAAGAATGGAAGAAGGACTGGAGCAATAGTACTGTAGGTAGGGTGTTTGCCTTGCACGCAGCCAACCTGGGTTCAATCCCCAGCATCCCATATGGTACCCTAAGCTCTGCCAGGAGTAATTTCTGAGTGCAGAGCCAGGAGTAACCCCTGTGCATCACTGTGTGGGACCAAAAAAGCAAAAACAAACAAACAACAACAATAAAAACTGTAGCACTGTGGCTGGAGCGATCACACAGCGGGTAGGGCATTTGCCTTGCATGCAGCTGACCTGGGTTTGATTCTTCTGTCCCTCTCAGAGAGCCCAGCAAGCTACCAAGAGTATTCCGCCCTGTATTCTGACCCAAAAAGCAAAAAAAAAAAAAAAGAAAGAAAGAAAAGAAAAGGAAGAATGAAAGAAAAACATGGCAGATTCATGTCTTTCTGATGTGGGGGGGTGGGTGTCTTCCTTGTGACAAAAGGCTGACCCTGTCTTCAGGTGTATCACCCTGACTCTATGTATCTTCAGACTTCCCATGCTCAGGAAATCACTCACGACTTACACACTAGCCGGATCTCTCGAGTTTGGATGCTAGCTGACAAAGAATCACATACTGGGGCAAACCTGTCACCCCTACATCCAGAGAAGCTGGGATTTCTCAGTTCTCTCCACTGTTCCAAGAGTATTTTCCTTGGGACAAATCAAATTCTTTCCACTTTTGATCTGTAGCCAGGTGGAACTGCTTGAACCAGACAAAGGTGCCATTGTTGAAGTCAAATCAAGGAGCAACTTGGATAATATATCTCTGTGTGTTTTGATGCATAATGGCAGTGAAATTCTCAGAGTGATGCCAAAGAAAAACATCTCTGAGTGGCAAAAAGCTAAGTATCCAACCGTGATTAAAATTAGTGGCTGCCATTTCCAGACAGAGGAATCAATACTAATGAATGTACGATTTTCCTTCCAGGGAGAAAACATCAGTTCAGGCCATGGCAGTGGAAGGTAAGGGGTGTGGAGGAAAGTACAGTCAGCAGCTCAGGGTCTGTATGGGTCTACTATATTCTTCCTGACGTCTGTGCCCTGATGCACTTTGCAGCTTTCTAAATGAATAATGACAAGCCAGAGACCACTGAATAAGCTGAAGGTAATTTGAAAATATTAGAGTTTTGCTGTCTTTAATTTTCTGGCCTCCCATTTATTTATTTATTTATTTATTTGCTTTTTTATTGGGTCACACCCGGCAATGCACAGGAGTTACTCCTGGTTCATGCACTCAGGAATTGCTCCTGGCGGTGCTCGGGGGACCATATGGGATGCTGGGAATCGAACCTAGGTTGGCTGCATGCAAGGCAGATGCCCTACCCGCTGTGCTATTGCTCCAGCCCCCCCCATTTATTTCTATTTTTAACAGAAAAATTTGTGTTTACTATTTGCAAAATAAAGTCGTCAGATTATATACAATATATATATATATATTCATTCAGCATCAGCGCTTGAGCACCTAGTGATGCTCTGAGTATTGTTTCCAGTCCTCGCGAGATAGCAATAATCAAATATAAAAATTGCTACCAATTTACATTGCTAGCTATTGTAAACAGTCGTTTACAATGAAAGAAACAATATAAGAGATTTTGACAGTATTTGGGGTGGTCATGGTGCTCAAGAAAATGAAACTGGAAACAAATCAGGATTGTGTGTGATTTGGTAGGAGGAAATAGACTCACATGGGAGCAGTTAGGGAAGTGTTCTGGAGAAAGATGCACTTGAGGAAAGGCTTGTAGAAGAGTAGGAATGTAAGAATATGTGAAGTCGCAGGGGCTAGGCAGATGGACAGATAGGGCAGAAGCTGAGAATCAGGGCTGGGGCTAGTGTTAGGAAATAAGTTTCAAGAGAGAGAGAGCACTTAGAGAACAGAAAGGGAGGAAGGCCCAGGAGACCTTCGTGATGATTTTATTTCACTGGTATTGAAATAGAGACCATTGGCTAGTTTGTTTTGCTGGGAACAGATAGTAGGACGGAAAGTAGTGAACCCACCTTCCTTGTTTACTTCAGAAATCTATTGTAAAATTCCAGTAGAAAATGCTGTGCTGATAGTCTGGGATGGGGTAGTGAGAGAGATGAAGCTGCAGAAGGTTTTGGGTGCATTTGGGAAACAACGTTGGCAGGAATGGAGAGTACTTGGAAGTGAGGTTGAGAAAAAAGTCTAAGTGTTCCGTGAGCCACTAAACTATTCAACTCCGTCATTAGAAGAGTGGAACTGTTTGGGGCTGCAGAGAAAGGACAGGGGTCAAGACACTTGGATTGCATGTGACCAACCCCAGTTTAATCCCTGGCACCACAAATGGTCCCCCAAGCACCAACAATAGGGGTCTCTGAGCACACAGCTAGGAGTAAGCCCCGAGCACAGAGTTAGGAGTAATCCCCGAATAAGGCCAACTGTGCAGTACCATCAAGCAGTCAGAAAGATTGTTCAATGTGGATAGAGTTTTGATTGGTGTAAGACCTTGGGACTCTTAAAGCACAATCTAGGTGATATAGCGGAATCATGACTGGTCTACCTCATTGATGATACGGATCTCAGTGAAGAGAGTGTGTCTGTTTAGAAAGAAACATTGCAACATGTGTGGGACACAGATTGCATCCTCCTAGATAACCTAGAATTTGGTACCCAGATCAGTGATAGAATGAAAATTTGACATATTTTGCAAATGAATCTTGAGGTTAAATTTTTGCTCACTTAAAATGTATTACAAATGGTGAGAAACAAAATTGTTTATAAAATTAAGAGGGCCATTTGTATCTATTTACTAGACATCTGCCTTTCATGGAATGAGTATCAGTCAGCACTTTGCAGGATGCTCATTTATTTCACATAACAGGAAAACAGTTGTCATCTAGAATGAAGAATAGAGCCTGTAAATTAGAACCAATGTTCTGCCACCTGCTACCTCTGGACACCCTCCTATCGCTTTAACCACACTGTCTGTAGCACTGTCCTCCCGTTGTTCATCAATTTGCTAGGGTGGGCACCAGTAAGGTCTCCATTGTGAGACTTGTTGTTTCTGTTTTTGGCATATCGAATATGCCACGGGGAGCTGGCCAGGCTCTGCCCTGCAACCGGGATACTTTCAGTAGTTTGCCGGGCTCTCCAAGAGGAATGGAGGAATCGAACCCGGGTCGGCCACATGCAAGGCAAACACCCTACCTGCTGTGCTTGGAAATAATAATGACATCTCCCATATGGAATTAGGAAAATGTCATTTTTAATATATGCAAAATGCATAAAACATGTCTAAAGAGAGTAAGTGCTTTTAATATTATATTCTAGGTCTTATTATGTCCTATACATCAAGACCATAAACAGGGAAGAGAATTTTAGATTCAGATTCTCAGGACTTAAAACCCTGACAGTATGTCATCAATTTTTCAGATTTTTTTTTATCAAGATAAAGCTGAAACTACTTTAACTCCATAGGAACAACTTTAGGTTTTAAAAACTCTATAGTCAGGTCAAGTTTTCATTCCATCTAAGAATTTAGCTTGTTACCCATGGCACTGACAGTATCAATGGTATACATAAAATTGTAGCATTCACCATACAAAACTTGCACATGAGTATTTACTGTATTTTCGTTCATAACTGTCAAGCTTTGGAAGCAGCTGGGACGTCCTTCCGTATGTGCATGCAAAAGCCAACCAGCACTTGCACCCAATGGAAGATTATTCAGCCCTACAGGGAAAGAAGTTGTTTTGCCAGGACAGATGCCGAGGGGTCTACGTGGGGACTGGGAAGAGGAGGAAGCAGGGCAGAAGATCACATGGAGCCAGATTCTGCGGGGTTGACGTTTGGGAGAGGATAAGAGCCTGTGCTTCTGCACATCTACTTTACTACGAAAGTAGCACAACACTGGCTGTCAGCCTGGGGCTGGGGTGACTTTGGGCGGCGCTCAGGGGACCGCGAGCATCACAGGGGTTCAAACCTGGGCATCCTAGTGATGCAAAACACGTGCTGACCCGCTGGACTCTCTGGGTACCGCAGGCTTCCTTGGGCATCTCTACTCTGCTTGCTGTGAGAGACACAGCCAGCAGAGGGCAGCTCCAGCCTCCTACCCACCTACCTCACCTGGTTCAGGTCCAGGAGGCCTCCTTCCCCCTAAAGGATCACAAGGGTCTGTTTAAAGCCTCGCAGGATTTTTCATTAATCCACCGTTATTGGCCTGGTGTCATGGGATCGAGTCTATCTGGGGCAGTGACCTGCGGTTTATGCACAAGTTGTGCGCTGTTATCCATCCTTTTAGGAGGTGCTGTTCTTTCTCTGAGCACCCAGCACCGCCTCCTTGAATGCCCAGATCCGTCGACAAGCATTCGTGTCTGTAGCTGATTCTGAACATGTTACAAGCCATGCCCCGAGACTGAAGAAAGACTCCTTTTGTCTGCTGAAAAGGCCTGATGAGCAAGGCAGAGCAAACTCCAGTAAATAGAATCAGGGAGCATGGGTAGGGGGTCGGGGTGAGACTGGGGGAGGCAATTCTGTTAGAGAGAGAGCACACATCAGCAAGTTGGCTACTTCAAAATAAAACTGAATTATGCCCTGATGGACGTGAAGGGAAACGTTTTGGAGGAGCTGAACCATTCTCTTAAGAAAATAGCAATATTCTATATGAGCTAGTAGAAGGGGTAAAAAAAAAGATTTGTTTTCTCTTCAGTATTTGTAAAAGAGTAGAATATTGCAGCCTCTGGATTGATATTAGCACATTTATTGGAAGCAGATGATAAAGCTTTTCAAACAGAAATGTGAAGAAATATCTGGATGCTGTCTTCTTCTTAGCTGGTCTCAAGGATACAGAGGAAACCAAGTTAGCATGCAAACGACAATCATGGTTTCTGCTAATTTCATAATCTCTTGAGACCTGAGACCATTAACTGAAAAACAATTATGAAGAGAAGCATGACACTGTCCTTTATTTACTGACCAGAATGCTGTCTTCCTCCATGTCTCTTAAAAGCAATGGACAAGATGTTACAACTGTTATTCAGTTTAATAAAGAGCCCCCCTCCCCAGGGGGCCAGAGAAATAGCCTGGGGGCACCCATTTTTGATCCCTGGAACCCCATGTGGTCTCCAGAGCACTGCCTAAAGTGATCACTGAGCACAGAGTCAGGAGTAAGCACCGAGCACCACCAGATGTGGTCACCAAACTAAAAAATGTAATAATAAATAAATAAGGAGCTCTCAAACCAGCATCACCATTGCCTGGGAACTTGATCCCGTAGAATGTCTGCCTTTCCTTCCCCCAGGAAAACTGCAGATGCTCCTGGAGGGTTTTAGTCCCACGAGCCTGCAGTGGACCATGGACCTAAGTCACATCCATTCTGAAGGCATTGGTAAGTTTCTGTTGTAAGTTGAATAATATTACCTAAATGCACTTGATGACATTATTTCCCAAGTGTTCAGGCCTCTGAAGCATTCAGAATCTCCTTATGATTCTCCTGGGCTCTTCCTCAGTGCAGGGACACTGGGCTTTGCACAATGACGTCCTGGGACCTTTCAAAGCACAAAGCAAATGGGTATGAAAGTGGAAGTTACATCATTCAGTGGTCTCACAGCTAAGAATCAAGAGGTTTTTCTTGGGGATCTCACCCCCATTGAGAAGTCAGACATGAGAGACATTCAATTAGCACAGATGTATGGCAGGAATTCAGAGAAGGGTGTGTGAAGGGAAATTTTGCCAGGGTGAGGTGGCAGTGAAGATGTGCTAGTTTCTTCCTATTTCCTTGTAGTGTTTTGGCCACACTGAGTAGTGCTCAGGGCTCAGGGATCATTAGTGCTCAGGGATACTCCCAGCTCTCTGCTTGGGGAATCACTCCCTGTGGCGCTCAGAGGATCATAAGGTGCTGGGGATAGAACCTGGGCCTCCAGCTTGCAAAACACATTCTCTTCTCGGCTTTCAATTACCGTTCCAGGAACTGGTGCAAGTTTTCTGGTGTAGAAGACTGAAAACCAGGGGGCTGCCCCAGTGGTTGTAGCTAATGGTCCAAGGACAAGTATATAGACAGATACCCACACATCAGCAGGTGGAAAAGAACATGGTTTAGCCTTTTGAGCTATGTCTCAAGATCCTTTTATTTATGACTTTTAGTGACT